TTTTGCCGAAGCTCAGACTCTGGCACAGGATCGGGAACGTTGGAAGCACTGTCTGACGCGTCTGCCTCAGGGACCCGAAAGGAGAAGCGGCGATGGAAGATGAAGATAAACATGGAATTTGTATAATTCAATGACCAGTTTTCGTGTACCATGTATCGAGCCAAACAGGAATGCGTTGACTGTTGCATCACCGCTAGCTTGCTGTAGTTCTACACGAAAGTCGAGATCTAGGAGGATTTCAGGTGTCGTGTCCCACTAGAATGCTTGATTTAAGACCTCAACGGTGACGGTTTCAGTTATTTAGGCGGAGATGGAGATTCCGCTTTGTATAATTCTTCTTAGTCTCTTTTGATCTGCGCTAAACTTTGTTAAAACGTCGCACCGTCGCGCCTAACTAAATCATTGTTCGGTAGTACGATATAAATCACTGATCTGATCATGTAAGATCATGGAGTTAAGTTTTTGTTACAGTTCGCATAGTCTGATAAAACTTTCATCCCATTTCAAGCGAACATTCTTCGATATGGTCAAATTAGTCAGTTAAGAATTCTGCTTTATCCTCTCAAGATGAACAATGAAATAACCAATCAACTGCGCGGTATTCACTGAATCTTCCCGACTTTATCTTCAGGTCCTACACTTCGCGCGAAATGCAGTGTTGCTTGCTCTACCGTTTCTTTGAGTCAACGATCTTCTTGACTTCATCCTACAACCCTGTTCTGAGATCAGTACATGTCTTATTTAGGTTAAACATAACATACTCTTGAGAACGCAGTAAGGCGGTACCTGACCTCTTGGTTCCTCCGCGCTACGTCATTTACCTAACTCCTTCAGATCAATATGATAAACCAGTGATGTTGCCCTTGTCATGTTCCTTAAGTAAATCTTGAACACTGCAATGAGCAAGTGACGGTAGTTAACGCAATCTTCTTCCCGAAAGTTTTATCGATACAGAATAGAATTAGCATTATACTTTAATTAAAAGTTGCTATATTTTACATTCAATGTTTTTCTGTAGGCCAGGACATCACCAATGGCCGCAAAATTAGGCAAATACAAAAACAGCTCATAAGGCTGATCTAAAAAATAGTATGCAACAATATGGAGATCAATGAATCGAAGCATGTCAAAACGACCAATAAGAAGAGCAAGATGAAAAGTAAAACCTTCGCTTTGGACTAGATTTTGAGAAATGTAAAAAACACCGAGGTAAAAGAAGGAAGCCAAACACGATACAAAGCAACATTCGTCTGTAACTTCTCAGAAGTTACGCGGCATAGCATACCGTCCCCTTGGTTCTAGTAGCCTACGGGACCGTTTAACCAGGTCACAGCTTGATGGTATTTTAGCTCCATGTAATGCAATGGGGCAAAACAACAACACTCTGTTGCGTCGAAAAAAACGTGTTTGAACATCAATGAACATACCTCAGTTCGTAGGCATATATACCAAAAATAACCCTGGAATCATGGGTTTGCTAGCATACTGTTAGTTTTGAATACAGCAACTAAGAATAGCATTCTTCTATCACTTCTCTCGATTTAAAGAGCCGATATGTAAGTTGAAGACCACGAAAAAGGCAAAGACGAAAATCAAAACGAATATCAAGGTGAAAAAGAAAGAATGTAGAGGGTCCAAAAGCGCTTCGGTCACGAACATAATTCATAACAATTCTTGAAACAACGATGCAAGCAATAAGAGCACGACTGCATTTGACTGCATTTTTCTGCCAAGTCGTAATTTTTTCTCACTACCGTTCTGGTGCCGACTGAAGCTGAGAGGCACAATGTGGATGACTATAATGACAAACGACGATCTCGACCAAAAGCGCCGCTTCGCTGTTGCTTAGCGTATAGCGCAAGTTAGATTCGTCGATGACGAACAGTGTGCGGTGGCACAAAGACAGGTCGGTAAACCAACGACAAATGGGCGGACATCGTAAAAACACAAGCGCGTGGCCACTGCACAGAAGAACGGTTACATCATCGTGGAATGACATCTGTCACCCAGCGGTACCTGGTACTGCCAGCAGTTGATACGAGAGCAGTGTGCCGAACCAACATTGCCTCATCTTTTACGTCACTTCTCACAACCCTGTCGAGCAGCAGGCGCCATTCAACACCGCGCCTGTTACAGAACTAACGACAAAGAACGTCGCTCGTTCTGAACTTTCAAAAACCTCATGGGCCGTAGCTCAGTTAATATTCGAAAATCGTGGAGTATTCGTTTTAGCGATCAAATTGAGCTGTTAAGAATGAAACCTTATGCTGATTTTTACGGTATTTTGCGCAAGAAGCAGAGCATTTTGAATTACCGATAAATCGCAAGTTCCAGAACTTAGCTGAGTCATACTTAGCGTCCCAAAAAGTAACAAGGTGATTAGACAGATATTTTATACCGTGCAAAAGCAACTATTTTTCGAAGTTTAAAAATTACACTTAACAGGAATGAATTAGTTGGCCTTAAAACAAGAGAGGGATTGTAAGGGAGCCAAAACCAATTTTACATTACTGTCAGACGCCGTCCCGAAGGAAACACTACAGTTACTTCACATCATTACTTAAAACCCAATGTTAGGTAAAAGACTCAATGTAACTAATGTGTATGAGGTTAAATAAGAGATT